CGCCAGGCTAATTTGTTTCGGAGTGTTCGTATCTGTATATGTCAGTTATTTCATTCGTGCTACTCTGGTTCATATCAGTATTGCCATGCATGGGATTACTGTTATCACCTTGATTATCTTTCTGTTTGCGAATACTATTAGCTGCGATTGACACACTCGTGCTTGTTGTGCTGTTGACCTTGTCATCGCTATCATCATTCGTATCATATATATATAGATGTCTCTGACTATGAATATGCTTGAACGGGTTCTTGGGTTGTATTTGTTTAATTCGCAAATGTTCTCGTATTATGAGTCGTAACCCTCGCATTCGTGCTCTCAGTATTACTACTGCTATATTTCGGGATCCTTCGTTCGGTGTAACATACATACATGTACACATTGTAAGATATATGTGTGTGGCGCTGCACACATATACCTGTATACGTTTGTAAATATTTGTATGTATACGTATGTGTACCTACATACACAGCAAGCAGCGCAACGTATGGACACTGCAGAGCTCTTGATCTCTTCCTCTCAACCGGCACTTCATCCCGAACCGTTTCTTGACGGCCCTGGGGCCCCGCAGGGGCCCCCACTGGCCGAAAATTGCCAAACGTCTCTCGCCGTGATTGTCTGTTTGTTTACCCCGCGGGCGGCCTGGCCCAGCAGGCCGACCCCTTCCGTGAAGGCCCTGTCGCCCTCGCTCCGAGACGTGGGCAGGCGGCCAGAGGGTGGGGTGGCCTCGAGGGCCAACGGCGGCCGACACGGCAGGGGGCCTATCGCAGGAGGGGTCGTTCAGGTCGCGCCCGAGAGGGGTCCTGCCCCCCCTCGCTGGCCCGGAGGTCGTGGTGGGACTTCGGCGAGGCCGCGGCGCTGAGCCGCCTGGGGCCCGGCGGCTCGCTCGCATCGGGCGCTGACAGGGGGCGGCTTTGGCCCAGCCCTCCGAGCGGGAGTCGACCAGGGGAGGGGACGTGGACGGACCACCTCGCCGATCCCAGCCGGGCCCATCCTGGTCCCAGGACGGGCGTGTAGCCCTCCTTCGTTGGGCCAGGGGGGATCCCTTGTTCTGTGATCGCCTTGAGTTCGAGAGCTGGGGCTCTCGCGACGGGCCCCTTGGACGGTGCAATTGTCTTGCGGGAATTGGCGATGCTGAGCGTTGACTCCCGCGTTTTCTTCCGCAGGCAGAGCCAGGATGCCGCGCAGAGCGCGGTCAGGCCGTTCCTGCCCACCTGCGCGCGAGCGTCCATGATCCTCAGAGAGTGTGTTAGCCCAAATGCGTGTTTGCCCTGTCCAACTCCGCCGACAGCGCACAGCCTGTGCCGGCCCTCATTGCACAGCCTGCGTCGTGTCGAAGGGCTTCCGTGGAACAGCATACGCTGGCGCTAACACGTTCTGAGGAGTACTGCGCGCGAGGGGGGAGGGGGAGGGGGAGGATGAGCTGGAGGGGGAGGAGGAGGATGAAGAGGAGGAGGAGGACGAGGAGGATGATGATGATGAGGAGGAGGAGGAGGAGCTGGAGGAGGAGGGGGAGGAAAGGGAGGAATATCATGCAGAATAATTGTTCATAAGTATAGCGTATAGCAGTCATACAATGACTATCAATCATGGTCATTCTAGTTCTAATTCCAGAACAAATTGAAGGCATAGCGCTACTACTGCTGCTACTGCTGCTACTACTACTACTACAACTTGTATAACTACTACTACTACTACTACTACTACTACTACTACTACTACGACGACTACTACTACTACTACTATTGCTACTGCTACTACTACTACTACTACTACTACTACTGCTACTACTACTACTACTACTACTACTACCATTACTATTACTACTACTACTACTACTACTATTATTACTACTACTACTACTACCACCAGTACTAATACTTATTATGCTTCTTCTTCTTCTTCTACTACTACTACTACAACTAAAACTCGTATGACTACGATTACAATCTTATTCATATTATTACAATTATTATTATTTTTATGTTTACTCTACCAATTACGTCTACTAGTACTAACGATACTGATTTCCGTAGTGGTATTACGATTACCAGCAATACCAGTGATAAACATTATAAGACGAAGAAGAATCTGAAGACGAACAAGAAAGCAGTATTAATACTAATAAGAATAAGATGAGTATTACTAACATTACTAATCGAGTCATAAGAAGAACAACGGCCGCGGGGGGCTGGTGCCAGGTGCGCACGGGCCGCCTCGCCCCCGCCGTCGCCGCCTCGCGCGGCGCCTTCATGGCTCCAGGTCGTCGCGCACGCCGAGCCATGCCAACTATGGCGTAGGTGGTCAGCCTTCCTGAACTCGAAGTCCTGCAAGCCAGGTCGAGAGTTCATCCTTCATGACTCCTGTCGGAGCCTTGCCCTCCTTCACCACTGCCCCCACTAAGAGTAGGGCCCTGTGGATGGTATCTTTGATGTTGGCGTGCTGGAGCTGCTCTGCGGTGGGCTCCTTCTCCGTGTCCGCGTCCGTGAAGGGGAAAGGTCCAGCACTTGCTGATACGAATGTGTTTCACCTTGCTGAGGGCCACAGCAGCGTTGATCGTGTCCAATAACTTGCCATGCTCCGTGAGTATGCTCCGCGTCTTTCCTCCCACGTCCTCTGTACAGAGGGTCGAAATCAGCGTCGTACAGAGATGTCTCTCTGGTGTTCCGAAAGCGTGACCTTTGCCCGCCTCCTTGCACTTGTCCGCGTAGATTTTCCTGCCGGCGCGCAGTGCTTTGATCGTGTTGCTCTGCACTGGCATGAGGTAGGTGATGAAGGTCGCCGCCATTAGCCACGCCAGCTGCTGAGTGTTGGCGAAGATCTGCTTGATGAGAATGGTCAGGAGCTTATTCAGCTTGGGGTCGGCCTTTACTTGGTACGCTTCTCCTCCTGTCTTGGGTCGTGCTGCCTTTGCCGCTGCTGCCGCTGCCTTTGCCAGAGCTCCGTCCTTTGCCTTGTCCTTTGCGTCCTCGCCCTCTGACTCCCTCACCACGTCCTCGCCGTTGCCGGCCGTGTTGTGCTTGTTGCCCTTGCCGTCCTTGCCGCCCTTGCTGATGCGCGGGGTCTTGTTACTGCGCTCGGTGTCCGCCGTGCTGCTGGCCACTTCTTCGATCTGCTGTGGGTTTGGCACGCACCAGGCCGTCATAGGGGAAGCCAATGTCCAGGTGGATGACCTGATCTTCAGCAGGTCGGTGTACCGTGCGGAAGTGATCTTACACAGCTGATAGATGTAGAAATGGCTGTAGATCAGGACAGAACGAGCACGAGGGATCGTCGGCGGGAATCAATGGATAATTGAGTCTGGTATTGTCGGCGAGGCAACGCTTTTGTTTGATAGATCGCAATCGGTGATCTTCGGCCTGGGCCCGATCCAGAAAAGTAGCACGGCCGAGAGGGCATTGAATCGGTGATGGTAGCTGCTGCTGCTGCTGCCAATCTGAGCCCGTGCTCGCCTCCTTCTGTCGCGGTCTGATGAGTACATGCGCGCTGCCCATGTCGAGAGCACTCGGGAACACACCAAGTCTGATTCCAACGTCACGGTGCATTTGAAACAGCCCAGCTCATCTCCTGCTCGTTCCTCTTCAGGTGGTTGAGCGAAGCCGGGTGGAGGTATGGACGCCGCTGTGGCTTTCGCTCGAAATTCCGACGCGTCGATTGTGAGGAAGGCTCCCGATTTTCTTGCGTCATGATAAAGTTGAGGAATGCTGCCATCCTTCAGGTAACTGAATGGTAGCCCCCCCCCACATGATCATACATATTCGTCTTTACCGCGGCCGCCGATCGATATCTTCTTTCTCCGCTCCCTTCTCCTGTCTCTTCCTTTCTCTCCTCCTCCTCCTCCTCTTCCTCCTCCTCCTCCTCCTCCCCGTGCTATTCCTTCTCGGAATCATCGAAATCGTCAGAAACTAAAGCAAACCTCCAAAAAACCAAAGAAAAACCAAAAAAACCAAAAAACACCAAAAAAACTATGATTTCTGGAGAATTTCTGGAACGGCTGGCGACCAAAATTCGCCAGAAATCATAGTTTTTTTGTTTTTTTTGTTTTTTTTGTTTTTTTTGTTTTTTTTGGTTTTTTTGGTTTTTTACCTCCTCCTCCTCCTCCGCCTCCACCTTCTCCCTCTTCTCCTCCCCCTCCACTCCCTCTTCTCCTCCTTCCCCTCTCCCCCTCCTCCGTTCTGCCGCCGGCCGGAGTAGGTACCGCAATTCCACCGATTGTTCTCCAGAAATCATAGTTTTTTTGTTTTTGTTTGTTTGTTTGGTTTTCTGAAGGGTTTTCGCTGGCGTTCGGCCTCCACAGAAGGATTCCTATTGAAATCCTCTGCGAAAGAAGATTCCCATTGAGATCCTCTACGGTTCCTCACCCTCCTCCTTCTGCAACTCACCCTCCTCATCATGCTCGCTTCGAGGCGATACTCACAAATCTAGTTGCGAACGCAGCTTCACAACTAGTTTTGCGAGGAACCTCCCGCTACAAGACACTACTCGCAAAACTAATTGTGAACGGCGCTCCACAACTAGTTTTGTGAGTAATGAGTTCCTCCTCGTCATCGTCATGCTGCTCACTCTCCTCTTCTTCCTTCTCCTGCTCCTCCTGCTCCTCGTCATTCTGCCCCCTCGTCTCCGCTTCGAGGCGACACGCACAAATCTAGTTGTGAACGCAGCTTCACAACTAATTCTGCGAGGAACCTCCCGCTACGAGACACAACTCGCAAAACTAATTGTGAACGACGCTCCACAACTAGTTTTGTGAGTAATGAGTTCCGCCTCGTCGTCGTCATGCTGCTCACCCTCCTCTTCTTCCTTCTCCTGCTCCTCCTGCTCCTCTGCCCTCCTGCTCCTCCTAGTTGTGCAGCTGCGTTCACAACTAGATTTGTGAGTATCGCCTCGAAGCGGAGAGAAGGGGGCACAATGACGAGGAGCAGGAGGAGGAGCAGGAGGAGGAAGAAGAAGAGGGTGAGGAGCATGACGATGACGAGGAGGAACTCCTTACTCACAAAACTAGTTGTGGAACGCCGTTCACAACTAGTTTTGCGAGTAGTGTCTTGTAGCTGGAGGTTCCTCGCACAACTAGTTGTGCAGCTGAGTTCACAACTAGAGCTGTGAGTATTGCCTCGAAGCGGAGAGGAGGGGGCACAATGACGAGGAGCAGGAGGAGCAGGAGGAAGAAGAAGAGAAGGGCGAGGGGCATGACGATGCCCTCCTGCTCCTCCTGCTCCTCGTCAGCAGAACTAGTTGTCAACGGCGTTCCACAACTAGTTTTGTGAGTAATGAGTTCCTCCTCATCATCGTCATGCTCCGCACTCTCCTCTTCTTCCTCCTCCTGCTCCTCCTGCTCTTCTGCCCTCCTGCTCCTCCTGCTCGTCATTCTGCCCCCCCCCTCTGCTCACCTTCCTCTTCTTCCTTCTCCTGCTCCTGCTCCTCCTGCTCCTCGTCATTGTGCCCCCTTCTCTCCGCTTTGAGGCGATACGCACAAATCTAGTTGTGAACGCAAATGCACAAGTACTCTTGCGAGGAACCTCCCGCTACGAATCACTACTCGCAGAACTAATTGTCAACGGCGCTCCACAACTAGTTTTGTGAGTAATGAGTTCCTCCTCGTCATCGTCATGCTGCTCACCCTCCTCTTCTTCCTTCCCCTGCTCCTCCTGCTCCTCCTGCTCCTCGTCATTGTGCCCCCTTCTCTCCGCTTCGAGGCGATACTCACAAATCTAGTTGTGAACGCAAATGCACAAGTACTCTTGCGAGGAACCTCCCGCTACAAGACACTACTCGCAAAATTAATTGCGAACGATGCTCCACAACTAGCGTTGTAAGTAATGAGTTCCTCCTCGTCATCGTCGTGCTGCTCACCCTCCTCTTCTTCCTTCTCCTGATCCTCCTACTCCTCGTCATTGTGCCCCCTCCTCTCCGCTTCGAGGCAATACTCACAACTCTAGCTGTGAACTCAGCTGCACAACTAGTTTTGCGAGGAACCTCCCGCTACAAGACACTACTCGCAAAACTAGTTGTGATCGGCGTTCAACAACTAGTTTTGTGAGTAATGAGTTCCTCCTCGTCATCGTCATGCTCCTCACCCTCCTCTTCTTCCTCCTCCTGCTCTTGCTCCTCCTGCTCCTCGTCATTGTGCCCCCTTCTCTCCGCTTCGAGGCGATAGTCACAAATCTAGTTGTGAACGCAGCTGCACGACTATTTTTGCGAGGAACCTCCCGCTACAACACAATTCGCCATAGAATGATTCCTATTGAAATTATCAACAGAAGGATTCGCGTTGAAACCCTTCACAGAAGGAGACTTAGGTGGATGAGAAGGAAGAGAAGGAGGAATATGAGGCGGATGAGGAGGATCAGGAGGAGGAGGGAGAGGGAGAAGAACCTCTATAAAACGATTCTTAATGATCAACTGCAACGCAGCCGATTGGATTGTAATGCGTTGCCAACGATTGAAGCCGCAAGCGCTTGGAATGCAATCGACTGGGTTGCGTCTGACAACGTAGCAAAACATAATCAAGAAGAGCAGGAGGAGGAAGGGGGATGAACGACTGTAGGGATCAAGGGAGCATGTGTATGATCATGTGGGGGGGGGCGAGCAACTGAATTGCTCGGCATTATCGAGCTCCAGGCGGGAGAGTACGTCCTGGTAGTACTTCTTAGCCCAGGGGTTCGCGCTGGCCGAGAGGCAGCCTCCGCGTCGAGCTCCCTCTCTCGGTTCTCGGTGGGGTGGGTGGTCCTTCTCGAACCGAATGACCCCGAAGAACGCGGTGAGCCACTGGTCGTAGTCCTTCCTGTGCTCGACAGAGGCTTGAATTATCCTGTTGCGGCGCGCCCGCATCTCGACGAACATGGGAGAGATGGCGCAACACTAGCACCTGAATGCGTCAATGTTGCTCATGGTCTTGCAGCGCCCGTCCTGCAGTGTAGTAGCTTTCCCCTGCATCAGCGCTCTGAGGTACTTGACGATGGTGGTGTTGAACCTGTGCAGCTCGGTGTCCTTGAGCAGGTAAGAGTCCATGCTGCTAGCAGGCTCCCTTGATTCGGTTGATGAAGGTAATGCGCTTGAGCCTCCAAGGTGTACGCCTGTGCCGAAACTTGCCCATGCTGCACCAGGCGCGCTTGATGCTCTGTATTCGTCAGTCGATCTCGATGGTGTTGCTGCCAACGTAATGGAAGTTCCCACTGGGGTACTGAATCGTTCCGAGAACGCGTCCTTTGAGGTGGTGCACTAGAGCACGGTTCTCTTGTCGGGTGCGGAGGCCCCCGACACATTCGTCTTTGTCTCTGTTCTAGCTGAACATGTACGCCTGGAGCTTGTTGTCGAGGACGGAGATGCTGTGGTTGAGGATGGCCGCCGCGGCTGTGGCCGTGCCTATGCGGACGATGTGGAGTTTCGGTATGTCGTCCACGTAGAGGTACACAGTGAGGTCGAGGGTGTCGTGAGTAATGGGGGAGACAGCTGCGAACGGCGCTGAGTCCTGCATGGTCTCGTCTAGCCATTGCCCGACGGGCTGCTCGTAGACGACATTGAATGGCGTGGGACCCGTACTGCAGCCTGACATGACTCCTGAGCCCACTGCGAAGTCGCCTGACTGGTCGAAGCCGTCGATCTGCACGCTTGCACATTTGCATCTCTGGGTGAAAAGGCGCTGCTCCCTGCTGGAGAGGCTGGTGGGGGTCGTCTCGACTGCTCTGTCCGTCTTTGTGCTCGGGAATATATTGGTGGCGTCCTTGCTGCCCACGATGACGTCGAGGTTGGTCCTTTGTCGGCGACAGGCCAGGACTCTGGAGGCTGCCATAGGTACTTCCCTTCTGTGATGTGGCCAGCATCCGTGTGCATGTGGTGGAGGGGAACAGGGCTCAACTTTGCATTGTAACTGCCTGTGCACGCATCGCCAGAAGGGGCAGAGCATGTGTAAAATCCTGGGTCCCCTCACCATCGGCTTGCCGTTCATCTTGTCCAGCGTGAAGCTCTCGCTGTGACGTGCATCCAATGGAGCGACGCCGGCCCTGTAGGTACGGTTGAGAATTTCTTCCAATCACTCCTCTGTGAGGAGGGCCTTGATCAGGTCGCCGTTGAATCCTAGGCCCGTGGTCTGCGGCTTTCTCTTTCTGATCTCGGTCGGCTGCAGGGTGATCTGGAATATCTCGGCAGGCAGGGACCACTCGGGGACTGAGGCGCGCTTCTTGAAGTACTTGAGCCTCTTCTTGACCCCGAGGAAGACCTTCCCAATGTTGTTCCTGGACTCCTCGTACTCCTCGTGGATCTGGTGCTTCAGCTCGTTCGGGAAATGCTGTCCTTGAGGATCTTCATCTCCTCGCTCCGGTCTATCGGGTTGGCCTCGAAGCCGCCGTCCTTGCCACTCAGCGCCGCCTGTTGGGTCCGTTCTGCCAAGCTGGGTCTTTATCTGGTGGCTAAGCTGCAGTTGTGGTTGCTCTCAGCATAGTTGTTGCTTGCCACGCACTTGGATAGCCTGTGCAGTTCTGCGTGATCTCGTCTCGTCCAAGCTGCGAAAATGAGGGTCTCGAGCTCGCGCTGTGTCTGGGCGATGTGGGGTTGTTTCTGCTTCTTGAGTGCCCGAGTGTGTAGGTATAGTCACCACTGGTTTAATTTTTTCCGCTGTTCTGCTCGAAAATAGAGGAGTGGAAGCCGCTCCTGCATCTGCTGCTTGTACGTGTCAGGCTTCTTGATCTTACGCTCGAAGTAGGGCTTGGCCGTCTCGATCAGGAGCTGCCAGTGCTCGTCCGCGGTGTCTTCTGCCGCTGGCTGCTTGGTAGTGTCGAACTTGCTCACCAATGCTTGCTCCAAGGCTGTGACGAACTCGGTGCGGTAGATGCCCGTCTGGAGTGAGGCGGCCATCTTGTCGAAATCCCAGGCCGTCCTGTGTAGGTCGGTGAACATGTTGGGGATTATGGTGCTAGCGTTGGCAATCAAGGGGACGTGATCCCGTGGGACGTTGTCTGTCATACGTGTAATCGCCTTGGCCGCTTCCCACCATACACCGCACGAGGTCATGCTGGCGCGTAGTCCCTGTGGGACGGTCAGGTCGTCAGGGCTGGTGGCCTGCCCCTCGTTCCAGAAGGTGCTGAGGATGCACATGCCGTGTACTTCCGTCATGTTGTAGAACGTTGCCGCTACTTCGCCTGGCCGCCCGACTGTGCTGGTGTCTCCGAACACTTGGTTGATCTCCGCTGCGATAAGGCCGCCTTCGCTGCAGTGGTCATTGAGGTCCAGGCCGACGAGTGGCGCGCTTCTCGTATGGGTAGCGCTGAGCGTGTTGTTGATCCACTGGAATGTCTCGTTGACGGTCCTGACCTGCTTGGCAGCCAAGCCAGACCTGGGAGGAATGTAGGCCACGATGAAAGAGAGGTCCAGCTCGCCGCGCTTGATAAGTATGGCACCTGCCCGTCCTTGAATCTGCTTGGGCGGGCTATTGAGCTCGACGATGTTGCTCGGGCGGAAGCGCTTGCTGACCATTATTGCAACTCCCGCGTGGCTGTTGGTCGAGGGGCCTCTGCCGTAGCCCCAGGTATACACGTGGTGCGCTAAGGTCTGCAGCTGGTCCACTTCGCTGGTCGGGTCATGCTGCTTCCATCGAATCGCCGGTAGCATGAGCACGTCAACAGCGCTGAGCTGGTGCGAGATCTCCAGGCAGCGGTGCGGCGCGACCGTGGAGAGCTGGTTGCAGACGCCCCATCTCAAGAACGTCATCCAGATCGTGAACATGAACATCAGGAAGGCCAGCAGAACTGGCGACACGAAGGCGCCCCAGAGGGGCGGAAAGGCTCCGCGCGAGATGCCTGCTACGCCGCTGAGAGTGTGGCATGAGCAGGAGGAGGAGGAGGAGGAGGAGGAGGAGGAGGAGGAGGAGAGGAGGAGGAGGTGGAGGTGGAGGTGGAGGTGGAGGGGGAGGAGAAGGAGCAGGAGCAGGAGGAGGAGGATGATGATGATGAGGAGGAGGAGGAGGAGGAGAAGGTGGAGGTGGAGGGGGAAGGGGAGGAGGAGGAGAAGGAGCAGGAGGAGGAGGAGGAGCAGGAGGAGGAGGAGGAGGAGGAGGAGGAGGAGGAGGAGGAGGAGGAGGGGGGAGGAGGAGGAGGAGAAGGTGGAGGAGGAGGCGGGGGGTGGCGCGGTGGCGGCGCCGAGGCCTTGAGCGGTTCGTCGCCTCGGTGCTCTGCCATGGGGACTTCGAGGGCCGAGGGCGGCTGGTTGCCGCGGAGCGCCGAGGTCATTGTGAAGAGAGGAGGGTCATATGCTCCGGGGGGACAGGCTCGGGGGGGGCGACGATCGGGGGGGAGGGGGGGAGGGTTTTCGCACGCTGTCGTCGGTTCTCGGCGGCTTGTCAGCCTCGGGGTGCGTTTTAGCGGCTGCGCCTCGCCGAGAGGCTTCTGGCGGCGCCCGGATCGCCCCGAACGGCCCTCGGAGGCCCGAGTCATGACCCGAAAACTGGACAACGATGATCAATTGGGGGTGATAGGCTCAGGGGAGGACGCATCGGTACCCAATCGCCCATTGATCGCCGATTGGGTCCCGATAGCCCCTCTGCGCCAAGCAACATGCGGATTCGCCATCGGGGGCCTCTCGCCGGTGTATTGCCGATTTCAGCTCGATGTTTCCACCTTGAGCTGGTCCACTCCCTATCGATTGCCTGAGAGCGTGATCCTGGTGTTTCTCTTGAGGTATACAGAAAGGCATAAGCATAGACTTTTAGAGGTCCGCGCCCGGTCTCATGGATCGGCGCAAGAATTCCCTGCGCACCTCTGCTGTTCTTTCTCGACATCTTCTGCGCTTTGGGCTCCTCAGGGCCCCTCGGGGTCCATTCTGGTCCCCTGGGGAGTCAGAAGACGGGCCCAGGATGGAACGCTGTTCCCGTGGAAAGCCAAGGGGTCCGGGGGCCCGTTTCCCTCAGGTCCCTTCTGTCAGAGGAAGGCTCTTTGACACACTGGGAGCCCATGCGATTGGAAGGAGCCACTCCTGATCGTCGCTCCAGCAAAACCTGCCGAGGCCGTACAAGCCCACTCTATCAAACCGCCGTTTTTTGGTGGCGCGCCCGGGGGGGAAGTGAGAAGGGGCGGGCCTTCTAAGAAGGCTCGGAAGTCCTCCTGCCTTCCGAGAAGCCTTCTAAGCCTCACCCGAAGATGCAGAAAACAGTTCAGAAGGCCGGAGGGCTTCTGAGAATCCCTGCCGCCTGATGGGAAGGCCTTCTCCCTCTCATCTCCCCCTCTCGCTCGCCGCCGGATCTTTTCCGTCGTGCCAAACGGCGGCAGGATCGTGCCGTGCTGGCCTGGCGGCAGCGCGGGGGCGGGCGTCCAAGCCTGGATGCCCAGGGCAGCCTCGGAGGGCCACAGGCAGCAGAGCTCATCGCTCAATTCGGCGGCGCGCCGAGGGGAGAATCGGGGGCGAAGAACATGTCCGCATCCGCGGCCTTGCGGGCCGGGCCCCTGGGCCGCGACCCCGCGGATCCGGAGCGTTTTTTCGCGGATGCCCCCCCGCGCGGAACGACTATGTGCGACCGCGTAACCGCGGGATCGCGCCCCGGAATGCAGACCGCGAGGCGAGGGCGCGGATGCGAATTTGTGCGTCGCGCGGGCGAGAGGTGAGAGAGGGCAGGCCTTCTCGGCTTAGGAAGCTCCTCAGGAGTCCTGAGGCCTGCTGATCCTCCTGGGGAGGCTCGGTCCCCTGCCGGCCCCCCCCCCCTGAGCGTGCCGCCGATCAAATGATGCAATCAATATATTCAACGGTTCGCGCGGCGGCGGAAACCAGAGCCCAGCAGGACTCTCCTCCGTATACACCGACGCCGACCGTGGCCAGGCCAGTGCTGTTCTCAGGGTCGGGACGTATGGACTCGTGGCGACGCCAGGGAGGCGCGCGTACCGATCCTGGGCCCAAGATCGGCCTGGCTGGGACCATGTGGAAAACCTAATCTATGGTTGGCGTGTCCATGTCGTAGTGAATGTCAGCATCCCCTGGAGCGGATAATCTGAGGGTCTACTGGCTTTCTCGACTTAGAGCTTGTGGTGCTGGTTGGAGCCTCCGCAGCGTTGGCTTTTTACGCGCATGACAGCTCGCACCAATTCTGGCGTACCACAAAGGGCCAGGCCTTCGAGGGATCGAGGAGTTGTCCTCTCTTGCCCGGCGGAAGGTACGTGGAAGGCCGGCGGAAGCTTGCAGATGTAAAACGCAGGCGCTTCCGCCACCGGAAGCTCAGCGGACAGCGGCGGAGGCCAAATCAGCCCCCCAAGAGATGCCCACATTTCTTGGTTCGGGGTGTCTGGGATCGTTCAAGTGGCAGCATTGCCAGGGACCTATGGACACCTCTGGGGACCTCTGTGGAGATTTCTGAGTCGCAGTGGTGGCCGTACAGGCCAGTCGTAACCATACCGTCTGCCGCACCCTGGAGAGAGGCTTGGCGCAAGATCGTTGCACCCCAGGAGCAGAGCACCTCCGAGCTCTCGCCCTACATCAGGTTCGGCGAGCTCTCTGTGAGGACGGTGTACTGGAGGGCGAGACAGGTTGGCATTCTTCAGCCTCCAATGATATTCCAATGTGCTGCAGCTTCCGCGGAGGAGGGGGTGGATGATGATGTTGATGATGATGCTGATGCTGATGATGATGATGCTGCTGCTGATGATGGTGATGATGCTGATGCTGCTGCTGATGATGATGATGATGATGATGATGATGCTGATGCTGATGCTGATGCTGATGATGATGATGATGATGATGATGCTGCTGATGCTGATGATGATGATGATGATGATGATGATGATGATGATGATGACGATGACGATGACGATGACGATGACGATGATGAGGAGGAGGATGAGGAGGAGAAGAATTCGGAGCGGCTGCGAAGCAATATTTGAACAACTACAGCGCCATCCCTGACCTCTATGAGCCTCGCGACCACAAGGTAGAGCGACGCTTGCGCATGGTGGTGGAAGCCGAGAGGCCCACGGTTCGCGAGGATGCCGCGGACGAGTCCCTCCAGCCTGAAGCGGTGCACGATGTTCACTCCCTCCAGGTCACACCACCAGGAACGGAAACCATACTGAACGCCACGACCGTGAAGCAGCGGTAAAACAATTGGTGCACCGCCTGTCGAGGCAGGTCGCTACACTGTCCCAGTAGTACAGCCTCTTTAGTCCTACACAGCAGCACTGCATACACGCGCCGCCTCCCACAGACTCCATGATTGAGGTACGCCAAAGGGGGGATCGGTCAGTGCCATGGCCGCGCCCTTATGGTTCCTTTCCTCCCCTTGTGCCACATGCCGGTCAAGAAGTTCAGGAAAACGCCAGAACCCAGAACGATTCAACAGCTTCATTGTACATCTCGGAGACCGCCGAGAAACACCACTGAAAGCCTGCAGAGTCAGACCACGTTGAAGACTGAAAAGGGTGCGGCACGGCAGAACTCTGAGTTGTCGAGCACTCTTGTCAGCGAACATTCTGAGTACAGAAAACACATACGTGCACATAACCAGATCGTCACTTGAAACCTGTCGATAACAAGGAGGTGCTTAGCCGCAACGCCACACCAGACAGATCTGAGCCCGCTCTGCACTTTGTCCAGCTTCGCTACCGCGATCTGCAACACAAAGAAAAGCGTGTTGACGTCGCGTTGTCACCCAAGCGCCCTGTTTCTGCACTGGACGCGTTTCGGAAGCTACGCTGGTCGAGCAAAATGCTACGGACGAACCGGTGCTTGAGCTAACATGGCTCCGGAGGGGGAGGAGGGCGAGGAGGAGGGTGAGATGTATTGTTGTTGCAAGGGGAGGCAACAAAGATGCACTCTTCTTCTGGCGGGAGCAGAAGGGGGCCAGGGAATGAGGGTGCGAACGACTTAACTTCCTACCCGCGGCGAGCGACAATGGAGGAGGAGGAGGAGGAGAAAGAGGAGAAGGAGGAGGTGGTGGTGGAGCTTGGTTCTCGATCTCCTTCCTCTTGCGTTGCTCGTCGCCATCGAGTTCCACAACATGTGTCAAGATGCCAGCAACGGGCAGGAGCAATAGGGGAGTGGGCGCAGCCTGCTGGCCCACCCTCGGTCTGCATTTTGACCCGTTGCTGAGCCACTCTCCGCTCCCCCCCTTCCACTTCCCCATGCACCAGGGAGGCGCGTGTAGCCGCTGGGCCCGCGGGCTGCGTCGCTGGGCTGGGGTCCCGGAGAACACATCCTCCGTGAGCGTCCAGTCCGACGCCAGGGCAAAATCACACCCTTGTGGGCGACCCCGCGGCCCGGGCTGAGTCGCTGGCAGCGCCACGGAGCCTCTGAAAGATTTGCGTTGCGTCCGCCTGCCTGCCAGCGAACGCCCAGCAGCTCGACGCGCTGGCGCCGCGTCAAGGAAACAGAGGAGGAGGACCAGTGCAAACCCAAGAGTCACCAACGATGTTGGAATAAACCCTCCCTCCCCCCGGTTCATTTCCACAGAGGGGCCTGCCTCGTTGGAAGACCAAAGATGTTGGAATGAGCCTTCCCCCCGAGCTCCCTCTTCATGGGCCCCCACGACGGTTCATTTCCACAGAGGGACCTGCCTCGTCGGGAGACAACCGTTTGAAGACCCTGAAACATGTCGAAACGTTGTCTTCGGTATTCCCAAGCCACGGATAAACCTGACTGCTGCGGATAGACGATCCTGGAACGTGCCAGAACGCCACTCCTGGGACTTCAACGCCGCGAATCAGTCGATCATGGGAATCCGTGCAACTCCTGTAGCGTTTAACAACAGCCTGCGCGGCGCTTTGGCGATAACCACGTTAAGAAAAGGAACCGACCTCAGTCCGTGAAGCTCTTGCACATTGTGCGACGAATGTGCGCGGCGTTAATGCGAGAGCTGCATTTTGAAAACGGCCCGCCTTCAATCCGTGGAACTTTTGTATACATTGAAAACGAATGTTCGTGGCGGTACGGCGAGAGCGACATTTTGAAAACCACCCGCCCTCAATCCGCGAAGCGCTTGCATACTTTGAAAACGAATGTGCGCGGCGGTAAGGCGATAATCACATTTTGAGAACCATCCGCCCTCAATCCGTGAAACGCTTGCATACTTTGAAAACGAAGGGGCGCGGCGCCATGGCGAGAACCACAATTTGAAAACGACCCGCCGTCATTCCGTGCGTCTCTTGCAACTTATCGGAACGATTACGCGCGGCGCCAAGGCGAGAGCCACACTGAAAACGGCCCGCCCTCACTCCGTGAAGCTCTTGCATTTTTCCCCACGTGTTTCGTGGGGTTCTGGTTTTCTTCCCTGCTGCGCCGCACCCGCGTCTCACACTCGCACACACCTCCCTCTCCCGCAAAACGTGGCAGGCGTGACATACATACATACATACATACATACATACATACATACACAGGCACACGGACACAAACACATACACACACACGCAGCACAACACACCTGCACAGCACAGCGCAGCAGAGCAGAGCACAGCACAGCACAGCACAGCACAGTTCAATGCAGCACAGCACAGCAATGCAGCACAGCACAGCACAGCACAGCACAGCACAGCACAGCACAGCACAGCACAGCACAGTACAGTACAGTACAGTACAGTACAGCACACCGCAGCACAACACAACACAGCACAGCACAGCACAGTACCGCACACCGCAGCACAGCACAACACAGCACAGCAAGCCTAGCAGGCGTGGTACTTTCTCGACACCAGAAGGGGGTGCGCACAGGGTGGTCTCTCACCGCGGTCCCTATACGCGCCAATGTCGCAGGGCCTAACACGCGTGGCACTTTCTCGACACCAGAGGGTGTGCGCACGGGGGGGTCTCTCACCGCGGTCCCTATACGCGCCAATGTCGCAGGGCCTAGTAGGCGTGGCACTTTCTCGACACCAGAGGGGGTGCACATCGGGTGCGGTCTCTATGCGTTGCAGGCGCGCAGGGCACGGCAGGCGCGGCACTTTCTGGACACCAGGAGGGTGCGCAGGGGGTGCGGTCTCTATGCGTTGCAGGCGCGCAGGGCGTGGCAGGCGTGGGAATTCTCGATAACAGAGGCGGTGTGCAGGGGGTGCGGTCTCTATGCGTTGCAGGCGCGCAGGGCACGGCAGGCGCGGCACTTTCTCGACACCAGGAGGGTGCGCAGGGGGTGCGGTCTCTATGCGTTGCAGGCGCGAAGGGCGCGGCAGGCGTGGGAATTCTCGACACCATAGGGGGTGCACACGGGGTGCGGTCTCTATGCGTTGCAGGCGCGCAGGGCACGGCAGGCGCGGCACATTCGCGGCAACAGAAAGGTGCGCAGGGGGTGCGGTCTCTATGCGTTGCAGGCGCGCAGGGCACGGCAGGCGTGGGAATTCTCGACACCAGAGGGGGTGCACATCGGGTGCGGTCTCTATGCGTTGCAGGCGCGCAGGGCACGGCAGGCGCGGCACTTTCTGGACAGGAGGGTGCGCAGGGGGTGCGGTCTCTATGCGTTGCAGGCGCGAAGGGCGCGGCAGGCGTGGGAATTCTCGGCACCAGGGGGGGTGCACAGGGGGTGCGGTGTCTATGCGTTGCAGGCGCGCAGGGCACGGCAGGCGTGGCATTTTCTCGGCACCAGGAAGGGTGCGCAGGGGGTGCGGTTTCTATGCGTTGCAGGCGCGCAGGGCACGGCAGGCGTTGGAATTCTCGACGCCAGAGGGGGTGCACAGGGGGTGCGGTCTCTATGCGTTGCAGGCGCGTCAGGCACGGCGGGCGTGGGAATTTCTCGGCGCCACAGGGTGTGCGCAGGAGGTGTGGTGTCTATACGTTGCCGGCGCGCAGGGCGCGGCAGGCGTGGGAATTCTCGATAACAGAGGCGGTGTGCAGGGGGTGCGGTCTCTATGCGTTGCAGGCGCGCAGGGCGCGGCGGGCGTGGGAATTTCTCGACAGCAAGAGGGTGTGCAGGGGGTGCGGTCTCTATGCGTTGCATGCGCGCAGGGCACGGCAACCGTTGGAGTTCTCGACACCAGAGGGGGTGCACACGGGGTGCGGTCTCTATGCGTTCCAGGCGCGCAGGGCACGGCAGGCGCGGCACTTTCGAGGCAACAGAAAGGTGCGCAGGGGGTGCGGTTTCTATCCGTTGCAGGCGCGCAAGGCACGGCAGGCGCGGCATTTTCTCGACACCAGGAGGGTGCGCAGGGGGTGCGGTCTCTATGCGTTGTAGGCGCGCAGGGCACGGCAGCGACACCAGAGGGGGTGCACTGGGGGTGTGGTCTCTGTGCGTTGCAAGCGCGCAGGGCGCGGCAGGCGTGGCGTTTTCTCCACACCGGGAGGGTGCAAAGGGGGTGCGGTCTCTATGCGTTGCAGGCGCGCAGGGCACGGCAGGCGCGGCACTTTCGCGACAACAGAAAGGTGCGCAGGGGGTGCGGTTTCTATGCGTTGCAGGCGCGCAAGGCATGGCACGCGTGGGAATTTCTCGACACCAGAGGGGGTGCACACGGGGTGCGGTCTCTATGCGTTGCCGGCGCGTCAGGCACGGCGGGCGTAGCACATTCTCGACGCCAGAGGGTGTGCGCAGGAGGTGCGGCCCCTATGCGTT